ATAGAAGACGATACAGTACTCTCAATGCTTTTTCATAAACAATGGAAATTTTGTTGAAGATATTTTTACAGTATGATCCCCAAATATATAATTAAAATTCAATCCGGCTAGGAATATGTGAGTCCCATTTTTTTTTGCTATTTCTGGTTTCAAAAAGTTTCAAGTGCTGTATCGTCGGCTTGTATTGTATACTTACATGTTGATTTAATTATATTATGCAAATGGATTATATGAAACAAAATTCTATAATGCAGTGTTATTTTGGTAATCTATATATTTTAACACTTTTTTTTTAAGAATTTGTGTCCTACGACCCAAGGGATGAACGTAGGCAAATTGAAGAGATGTTTGGTATAACACCTGGTGTTGGAGATGATATTTTCGGCGATGTCTCGTTTGAATTACCAAAAAGCCCAGAAGGAGGTGAATATGATATGTTTGGTTTACCAAAGTTAGTGGAGGTGACTAAGATGCCACTTTCTCGGTCCCCCGTAAAACCAGCAACGCCTCCATTTCGTTTCACCGAACCTACAGTTCCCACAGATATTTTTGATATAACGGAAGCAGAAATGAGTTTGGTGGGTGCGGACGAGACACCAACTACACCTAAATTCACGGAGTCACCAGGTGTAGCAGGTTACGTAACACCGGAGCGATTGAAGACAACACGGGACACACCACCTTCATATGTTCCAACAGCATATAGACCGATACCGTCTCCCGGTGAAGTGAAATCCCCTGGATTTGAAGATCAATTTCTCTTCGATGTAGGACAAGAATCCCCACCATTCAAATGGACCTCACCCGGACTCAGCCCACCGGGTTCTCCAGGAGTGAATATGTTAACTGTTTCCGAGATGAAGCCTGGAGCTGGTACTGTACCTAGACTTCCTTCAGAAAATGTATTTGGTGTTGAAATTCTTGATGAAAAAACACGGGAAAAATATATAGATTTTCTGTTTGGTGAAGATGAAAAAATGAAAGAATTGGTAAAAAGTATTTCTAGCAGAAAAATGGAGCAGGATTTGTCTGGAGAACAGATGCCACAGTTAGCTGAAGGAGTGCAGGTAGTGTGATAGATTTCTATAATTCGAAAAAAATAAACATCAACTATTTTTGTGAGTTTTCACCTACAATATCTAAAAAAATGAAAATTAGAAATTATACAGGTATATAAAGGAATTTTTCCTTAATTTTCACAAGTTGTTGCTTATACACAATGTACGTTTTTTAACAAAATATATGCTTTCGATCAGTGATTCTGTATAACAACGAAACATATTTCATGATTAATTCATTCAACGTTTCAGTTTACTTAACACTGATCAGGAGTAAATTAGAGTAGGGCAATATCGTTCGAAATCCGACCCATATGAAACATATATCTTGTTTGGAAAATGTTGAAAAAATTGTTTTGAAATATGCATATTTCAAAAAACATGATGCTTATCCCGAGAGGGGTTATAGCTATAACTCATTGTTGAACGAGTTTCAAATTATATCTCTATAAAAATGCAGGCAAAGCCGCGATATGTAGATATATTTTTTCACAATTCCAAAAAGAGATTCTCCGTTTCATTCACAATTGATCTTACTATACAGTGCATTTCTTGAATGTCCCCCCCATCCCACTTTTATTTTTTGAACGGGTCAACTCAAAAAATTGAAATTAAGGATTATGAAATTAATGCATGAATACTTTATTTTGAAGATGACGACTGGGAGCCATCTGGGAAAAAAATTAAATGGAAAGGGGGGTCTTGTGATACATCATTTGAAGCTCATTTTGAAGCTTCACAACCCTAGAATATGAAGTCAATATCTTTACCTACTACAAAATGGTGGAACATTTATTGATTTCCTGAAGACAAACAGAATAATATCGATATTAATATTATTCCTTTTTATCTGCCATATGGCAATTTCAACAACCCGATAGGGTTTGTTAAGTTAATTTTTGTTTATAAAAACGACAAAAAATTTCAGTACGATAGTGAACATCATTGTTCAGTTAGAATATTCTCATTTGATTTTCAGTTTCACTAGTAGAAAGGTAACACGCCAAAAATCTCTAAAATGTTTAATTCTCGTGCATTGGAAGAAAAAATTGAAGTGATTTTTATTTACGGTACGACGCCAAACTTTCACGAGACCGAAAGAATTTTCAATGAACGTTTTCCGAATCGTCCTATCTGTAGAAAATATATGAGGGAACTTGTAGCCAAATTCACAACTACCGCTAGTGTACATAAAAAAACTCCCAGGTCATCCGTTCATTCCGGAAGAACAACAAGTGCAAATAATTGGTGAGATGGTAGTAAATCCTGAACAGTCTACTTATTCCATCGCGATTGTTTGTGAGATGTCTCCTTCTACTGTGTGGAGACTTTTGAAGAGGAATAGGTATCATCCATACAAAATTAAAATGGTACACCAATTAACTGAAGATAACCCTGATCTCGAAGAACAGAATTCTGCGAAATCATGACGGAAATCATTGCAAGCCATGCTAACTATCTCCACAATATTTGTTTTAGTGACGAATGTACATTTTTTCATACGGCAATGTTCACAGGCAAAATTGTCTTTATTGGAGTGACAGCAACCCTCACGTTTTCCGAGAAACACATACCCAATATCCAGAAAAAATTAACGTTTGGGCAGGAATATTGGAAAACCATATTCTAGAACCTCTATTTATTGATCAAAATTTATCAGGAGAACTGTATTTGAATATGCTGGAAATTACTCTTAACACTCTCGTCACTGAAATCGTAGAAGCGAATTCTAATGAATTCGATATGAATATTGTATTCCAACAACTTCTTCGATTGACGACTTGTTTATTTTGTGGAAATTCATGTTCACTGAGGATACACTACAAAAACACACTTTTGTCTATTTTCCACTATATTTCTTTATTGTTGACCGGTTTCGGCTATTACACCATTTTCAAAACTAACTGATTACATTTAAATCTGAGTAATTTATACCTATGTTGCTTATTCTATCATAAATGATTTGATATACCTGATACCCGGTACCTGCGTTTCATATACCTGTAAAATCCATGAACATAACAAAGCTTTCAATATAATGTAGGTTTTGGGATCTGGATTATAGGTTCAGGAGAGGACTATCATTTAAATCAAGTTGTTCGTTGAGGACAATAGAATTGGGATTTTTCTTTGACCTGTTTATTTCCATAGATTCCAACAAATTCATCATTTTCCCTTTTTCCATTTTTCGCATCCTAAAGATCCTACACACATGCGAAAAAGGGAAAATGATGAATCTGTTGGAATTTATGGAAATAAACAGGTCAAAGAAAATCCCAATTCTATTATCCTCAACGAACAACTTGATTTAAATAATAATCCTCTCCTGAACCTATAATCCAGATCCCAAAACCTACATTATATTGAAAACTTTGTTATGTTCATGGATTTTACAGGTATATGAAACGCAGGTACCGGGTATCAGGTATATCAGGTATATCAAATCATTTAGTATAGAATAAGCAACATAGGTATAAATTACTCAGATTTAAATGTAATCAGTTAGTTTTGAAAATGGTGTAATAGCCGAAACCAGTCAACAATAAAGAAATACAGAGGAAAATAGACAAAAGTGTGTTTTTGTAGTGTATCCTCAGTATTCCAACAATATGGAGCACCACCACATCACTCCAGGCAAGTAAGAAACTATTTGGATACTACTTTTCCCGGTGGTTGGATTGGCCATCGAGGTCCCACTGAATGACCAGCCTGCTCGCGAGATTTGACACCTTTTTGTACTTTTTTATGGGGATATTTGAAGCAACAGGTGAACGAAACTGAACCTACTTCAATATTGAATATACGGCAGAGAATAAAAAATATTTGTACAGATATTGACGAAAAATATCGGATAGGCTGTTCATATGTCAAGAAGTTCAAGGCAATCATTTCGAGCATCTTCTGAACTGATCTAAAGCTTATTGGAGGAGGTTAAGTGGTAGAACAAACCTGTAGTGTTCCACACTGCAGTTTTGAACTTCGCCTTTTGGATGTTATATTGTATTTCACCCAATAAAAACCATAATTATTATTATTATTATTACCTCATATCATGTAGTTAAATGTCAATGTATTCAGGAAATTATTAAATTTTCCGCCTTTTTGTAACAGGTGAAGATATTGACTTTATATTCTGGGGTTGTGAAGTATTCGTCAGGAGCTTCAAAATGATGTGTCACAAGTAAATTGGTTAAGGCTTTCGCGGCCAAGATTTTTAGTGTTACGATCTTCGTTCGGGTTTGAAGGTCGTCGTGGTTTGTAACTGTATCCTAATATTTCGCCAGCACGAGTGGCTGGCTTCTTTAGAGGTTTATTCATCTTGATGGTTCATCGGTGGTGTATCATAAGATCCCCCTTTCTATTAATTTTTTTCCCAGATGGCACCCAGTCGCCATCTTGAAAGTTGCATCTGTCAATTTCACTTCAAAATAAAGTATTTATGAATTAATTTCATCATCTGAAATTTCAAAAATAAATAAATAAATAAATAAATGAGTAAATGAGTATATATCAAAAACTCCCATTATCAAAAAATCGGTGAATTACAAAGTGGTCCCTTATTAGATTATTGCCAATTGTAATGTATCCCAGGTTGCAACGTGCTTTGAATCACAAATTGCAACCACTTCAGCGGCCATCTGGTATCGGCGACTTGAATGATTGAAATTCAAACTTCTTCAGATCTACAATTCTCACTGCTACTAGCTAATCCTGCCGAGATGCCCCTTTAGGGTCCTTTATATCTGAATTCACCCAGTTTGTGTGTGATAGATTTGTTATTTGTAAATCAGATTATATGAGTCAGTAGAATTTCGGTTTACTGGAGAATAGATAACTTTCGGATTCACAAGTCATTATGAAGAACAATTTTTATATATTTTTGTTAACGATCATGTTAACATCATGGTGACTTTTCATTCTTTTCAAAAAATGTTTATTTATTCATAAATTTTCTATTTTAACCCCTTCAAAGTAGTCCTCTTCAGATATAATATACTTGTGCCATTATTTTTTCCAATCCCCGAAGCAGTTCTGATATACACTCTTTGGTATGCCCTTGAGCTCTGTCAGCGATTCAGTTTCAATCTCCTCAATAATCGCAAAACGCAGTTTATGTGTCTCTTCAATCTTGGAAATGGGAAAAAGTTGCAGGGAGCCAAATCTGGTAAATACGGTGGCAGAAGCATTATTGCGGTGTTGTTTTTGACAACCGGTAACAGACGCATTACTTCAAGATAATAACTCCACGGTAATCGAAGGAAACAGTGAGCAAAACTCAGATTTTATCTAAAAATCGATGGTTTCATTCGTCGAAGTTCAGCAGTTTTGGAACGAACTTTGCTGCCGCACGCTTCATTGTCAAAAAATTGCTTGGCACATCATCAATTGTTGATGTGCTGGAGCGTCTAGGGTGAGCGTCGTCATTCACATCTTCTCGACCTTCTGCAAAGAGCTTGTACCACTTGTGAATATTTTTGGCTCAGGGTACAATCACCGTATGCCACTGTCAACGACAGTTCAAGGGAAAATTGAATATTCAAATGTTTTTTGAATGGACCTCGTGTATACAGATTTGAAGCAATTGCCCATTGGAACATTTCATTCCTCGAAAATGAATATATATGATTTGGTAGTTGTTGAATGCGTTGCCATTTCTTATACTGATATTAGATATTGCTTCAGAAGTTGTATTCATGATGAATTTTCATCATGGAATGTCCAGGATGAAATGGACTAGACCTTTTCGATCAGTATATATGAGAATTTTCAAATTTAGTTAACATCTTATGATATTGAAGCCATATGGTGAAGTTCTTAGGAACACAATTCGACTGCAACCTATCATGGAACTCTCATGTCGATGTACTTTGTGGCAAGCTGAACAAATGTTTTTATGTGGTCACCACACTCCAAAACATGCTGGAACGAGAATGTCTGCTTGAAGTTTACTATGCACTGGTGTACTCCGCTATTTCATATATTATCGTTGTGTGGGGTCAAGCGTCCGA